TTTTTTTGTCGAGATTTTGGGTCACACTGATCCCTCGTGATACCCTGAACTCTATACACAAAATTATTCTCAGATTTGAAGCCAAAATCCATGAAAAAAGGCACTCAGAAAAATTGAAAAATTGATAAATCACCCCAATTGCTTAACACGATTTTATCTCAGGAACTATAAGTGCAAATGAGCTGAAATTTTCAGGGATTGTAGTCCTTTGAAAGGGATAAAACTCAGTGAAAGATTCAGCTCTCTATCTATAATAGAAAAAAAGTTACGACTTTTGAAAGTTTTCCGAAAAAATCATAAGGGGGGTACCTTCTTACTAAAATGATGAAATTTCAAAATTTTTTTTGTCGAGATTTTGGGTCACACTGATCCCTCGTGATACCCTGAACTCTATACACAAAATTATTCTCAGATTTGAAGCCAAAATCCATGAAAAAAGGCACTCAGAAAAATTGAGAAATTGATAAATCACCCCAATTGCTTAACACGATTTTATCTCAGGAACTATAAGTGCAAATGAGCTGAAATTTTCAGGGATTGTAGTCCTTTGAAAGGGATAAAACTCAGTGAAAGATTCAGCTTTCTATCTATAATAGAAAAAAAGTTACGACCTTTGAAAGTTTTCCGAAAAAATCATAAGAGGGGTACCTTCTTACTAAAATGATGAAATTTCAAAATTTTTTTTGTCGAGATTTTGGGTCCTACTGATCCCTCGTGATACCCTGAACTCTATACACAAAATTATTCTCAGATTTGAAGCCAAAATCCATGAAAAAAGGCACTCAGAAAAATTGAGAAATTGATAAATCACCCCAATTGCTTAACACGATTTTATCTCAGGAACTATAAGTGCAAATGAGCTGAAATTTTCAGGGATTGTAGTCCTTTGAAAGGGATGAAATTCAGTTAAAGATTCAGCTTTCTATCTATAATAGAGAAAAAGTTACGACCTTTGAAAGTTTTCCGAAAAAATCATAAGAGGGGTACCTTCTTACTAAAATGATGAAATTTCAAATTTTTTTTTGTCGAGATTTTGGGTTCTACTGATCCCTCGTGATACCCTGAACTCCATACACAAAATTATTCTCAGATTTGAAGCCGAAATCTATGGAAAAAGGCACTCAGAAAAATTGAGAAATTGATAAATCACCCCAATTGCTTAACACGATTTTATCTCAGGAACTATAAGTGCAAATGAGCTGAAATTTTCAGGGATTGTAGTCCTTTGAAAGGGATAAAACTCAGTGAAAGATTCAGCTTTCTATCTATAATAGAAAAAAAGTTACGACCTTTGAAAGTTTTCCGAAAAAATCATAAGAGGGGTACCTTCTTACTAAAATGATGAAATTTCAAATTTTTTTTTGTCGAGATTTTGGGTTCTACTGATCCCTCGTGATACCCTGAACTCCATACACAAAATTATTCTCAGATTTGAAGCCGAAATCTATGGAAAAAGGCACTCAGAAAAATTGAAAAATTGATAAATCACCCCAATTGCTTAACACGATTTTATCTCAGGAACTATAAGTGCAAATGAGCTGAAATTTTCAGGGATTGTAGTCCTTTGAAAGGGATGAAATTCAGTTAAAGATTCAGCTTTCTATCTATAATAGAAAAAAAGTTACGACCTTTGAAAGTTTTCCGAAAAAATCATAAGAGGGGTACCTTCTTACTAAAATGATGAAATTTCAAATTTTTTTTTGTCGAGATTTTGGGTTCTACTGATCCCTCGTGATACCCTGAACTCCATACACAAAATTATTCTCAGATTTGAAGCCGAAATCTATGGAAAAAGGCACTCAGAAAAATTGAGAAATTGATAAATCACCCCAATTGCTTAACACGATTTTATCTCAGGAACTATAAGTGCAAATGAGCTGAAATTTTCAGGGATTGTAGTCCTTTGAAAGGGATAAAACTCAGTGAAAGATTCAGCTTTCTATCTATAATAGAAAAAAAGTTACGACCTTTGAAAGTTTTCCGAAAAAATCATAAGAGGGGTACCTTCTTACTAAAATGATGAAATTTCAAATTTTTTTTTGTCGAGATTTTGGGTTCTACTGATCCCTCGTGATACCCTGAACTCCATACACAAAATTATTCTCAGATTTGAAGCCGAAATCTATGGAAAAAGGCACTCAGAAAAATTGAAAAATTGATAAATCACCCCAATTGCTTAACACGATTTTATCTCAGGAACTATAAGTGCAAATGAGCTGAAATTTTCAGGGATTGTAGTCCTTTGAAAGGGATGAAATTCAGTTAAAGATTCAGCTTTCTATCTATAATAGAAAAAAAGTTACGACCTTTGAAAGTTTTCCGAAAAAATCATAAGGGGGGTACCTTCTTACTAAAATGATGAAATTTCAAATTTTTTTTTGTCGAGATTTTGGGTTCTACTGATCCCTCGTGATACCCTGAACTCTATACACAAAATTATTCTCAGATTTGAAGCCGAAATCTATGGAAAAAGGCACTCAGAAAAATTGAAAAATTGATAAATCACCCCAATTGCTTAACACGATTTTATCTCAGGAACTATAAGTGCAAATGAGTTAAAATTTTCAGGGATTGTAGTCCTTTGAAAAGGATAATTTTCAGTGAAAGATTCAGCTTTCTATCTATAATAGAAAAAAAGTTATAACTTTTCAAAATTTTCCAAAAAAATCATAAGGGGGGTACCTTCCTACTAAAACGATGAAATTTCAAATTTTTTTTTGTCGAGATTTTGTGTCGTAATGGTCCCTCGTGATACCCTGAACTCCATAAACTAATATATTCTTAGATTTGAAGCCAAAATCCATGAAACAAGGCACTCAGAAAAATTGAAAAATTGATAAATCACCACAATTGCTTAGGACGATTTTATCTCAGGAACTATAAGTGTCAATGAGCTGAAATTTTCAGGGATTGTAGTCCTTTGAAAAGGATAATTTTCAGTGAAAGATTCAGCTTTCTATCTATAATAGAAAAAAAGTTATGACTTTTCAAAATTTTCCAAAAAAATCATAAGGGGGGTACCTTCCTACTAAAACGATGAAATTTCAAATTTTTTTTTGTCGAGATTTTGTGTCCTAATGGTCCCTCGTGATACCCTGAACTCCATAAACTAATATATTCTTAGATTTGAAGCCAAAATCCATGAAAAAAGGCACTCAGAAAAATTGAAAAATTGATAAATCACCCCAATTGCTTAACACGATTTTATCTCAGGAACTATAAGTGCAAATGAGCTGAAATTTTCAGGGATTGTAGTCCTTTGAAAGGGATGAAATTCAGTGAAAGATTCAGCTTTCTATCTATAATAGAAAAAAAGTTACGACCTTTGAAAGTTTTCCGAAAAAATCATAAGGGGGGTACCTTCTTACTAAAATGATGAAATTTCAAATTTTTTTTTGTCGAGATTTTGGGTTCTACTGATCCCTCGTGATACCCTGAACTCTATACACAAAATTATTCTCAGATTTGAAGCCGAAATCTATGGAAAAAGGCACTCAGAAAAATTGAAAAATTGATAAATCACCCCAATTGCTTAACACGATTTTATCTCAGGAACTATAAGTGCAAATGAGTTGAAATTTTCAGGGATTGTAGTCCTTTGAAAAGGATAATTTTCAGTGAAAGATTCAGCTTTCTATCTATAATAGAAAAAAAGTTATAACTTTTCAAAATTTTCCAAAAAAATCATAAGGGGGGTACCTTCCTACTAAAACGATGAAATTTCAAATTTTTTTTTGTCGAGATTTTGTGTCGTAATGGTCCCTCGTGATACCCTGAACTCCATAAACTAATATATTCTTAGATTTGAAGCCAAAATCCATGAAACAAGGCACTCAGAAAAATTGAAAAATTGATAAATCACCACAATTGCTTAGGACGATTTTATCTCAGGAACTATAAGTGTCAATGAGCTGAAATTTTCAGGGATTGTAGTCCTTTGAAAAGGATAATTTTCAGTGAAAGATTCAGCTTTCTATCTATAATAGAAAAAAAGTTATGACTTTTCAAAATTTTCCAAAAAAATCATAAGGGGGGTACCTTCCTACTAAAACGATGAAATTTCAAATTTTTTTTTGTCGAGATTTTGTGTCCTAATGGTCCCTCGTGATACCCTGAACTCCATAAACTAATATATTCTTAGATTTGAAGCCAAAATCCATGAAAAAAGGCACTCAGAAAAATTGAAAAATTGATAAATCACCCCAATTGCTTAACACGATTTTATCTCAGGAACTATAAGTGCAAATGAGCTGAAATTTTCAGGGATTGTAGTCCTTTGAAAGGGATAAAACTCAGTGAAAGATTCAGCTCTCTATCTATAATAGAAAAAAAGTTACGACTTTTGAAAGTTTTCCGAAAAAATCATAAGGGGGGTACCTTCTTACTAAAATGATGAAATTTCAAAATTTTTTTTGTCGAGATTTTGTGTCCTAATGGTCCCTCGTGATACCCTGAACTCCATAAACTAATATATTCTTAGATTTGAAGCCAAAATCCATGAAAAAAGGCACTCAGAAAAATTCAAAAATTGATAAATCACCACAATTGCTTAGCACGATTTTATCTCAGGAACTATAAGAACAAATGAGCTGAATTTTCCAGGGATTGTAGTTCTTTGAAAATGATGACATTCAGTGAAAGATTCAGCTTTCTATCTATAATAGAAAAAAATGTATGACCTTTCAAAGTTTTCCTTCTTACCTTCTTATTAAAATGATGAAATTTAAAAAAAAAAATTGTCGAGATTTTGTATCCTAATGGTCAATCAACATACTCCAAACTCCATAGACTAATGTGCAAGAGATTCCAGAATATCCGTTTCCCCTTGACAGGTTGTCTAGGGTCTAGGTAGGCAATAAAGTAGCACTCAATTTTAATAGTAAAATAAAATAGCACTTCATTTCACAGTAATATATAAAGTGCTACTTTATTGACACAAAACTTTTCTAGAAATAGCACTTTATATTGGTCAATCGGACATAGAATAATAAATCTCTCTACTCAATGCTGTATTTATTGTTGAATCTCGCCAATTTATTAGAAATATATAAAAAATGGTATAATATTAAAACGGTATCAATAGCGATAAACAAATATAAGAATTTGAGGTTTTAGTCATCGGACGTTGATCCTTCAACAGATTCGATTTCTTCGAACCATTTCGGATCGATTTCTTTCATCCCCATAAGCCCTTTCAATTCCCTTATGCAGGTGCTCAAAGCAATTTCCTGTATTTTATTTCTCCTAGTCCAAATTTTGATGTTTTTTTTTATATCGAACAGTTGGTCTTTTAATCGTACGTATTGCATCACATCCGGTACCGTGTATTCGTTTTTCAAACGTCTGCAATGGTCATACTTGTCCATTTCCAGTTGTAGTTCTCTCTCGGCAGCTTCGCATTCTTTTTCAGTTCTTTCGATGAGTTTATTTTTTTCTCGTATTTGAATTTTCAATTTGTTGCAATCGTCTTGTTGTTTTTGTAGGAATTTTTTATGATTGCTTAAAACTAAATTGGCTTTGCCGTTCATCTTTTTCAGTTCGACTAAATGGACATTTTTTTGGTTGATTCTTTCTAGGAAATGTTTGTTTTCGATTTCCAATTGATCGAAATCAACTGCATGGACATTTTCCCCTAACTCTTGTCTCTGTATTAATTGTTGCGACACTTTTTTATATTGCACTTTTAACGTAGCAATTTTTAGACGCAATTTTTCTATTTGCAATTGTGCACTTTTCAACCATTCCTCCATATATCTTATGAATTTTTCTGCAGGTATTCGCTGAGTTAACTTATCAATGCCTTGAGTCACTACGCTGTATTCGAATATTTCTGTGGCTTCTTTAATTTCGGCTTCTCTTATGCTAAACTCTTCCAATTCGGCCTTAAGGTTCCTTTTGGTGGCATGACATTTCTTCAAAAAACTCTCCAGAGCTATGTGACTTTCTTCCATTGCTCTCAATAGCATTTCAGTTTTTTGCGACAGGTTGATTTTTGGCCCTTTACCTTCCGCTATAGACGTAATACTTGTATAGGAATCTAAACGATATTTTTCCTTAGAACCAGAACCTCTGTCTCTGTCCAAAGAAACACCAGTCGAAACGCGCGTGGGAGACGTAGAAGGCTTCCTCAATAAAAAATTAATTATTTCCTCGAAGCCGTCTAACGAGGAAGGATCGTGCTCTTTCAAAAAAGACTCGAACAAAATATTCTCCAAGTACAAATGCCGATTCTCGGTTTCCATTTCTTCAACTAGTTCAATCAGTTGTTGATCGGTAAGCTCGTCCAAAGGATGCGCCTGACTGGTACCAGAATCGATTTTGTCCAACTCGTCTTCTGCTAACATAGTCATGCTGGTTTCGAGGAGGTCTTTTGGTTCTTTTAGGATAGCAGTTTCAGATGCGTTTAAATTGCCTTCTTGGAATAGGACTTCTTCATCTTGAATTTCTCGAACCTAAAACAGATTAATTTTTGAAAAAATCGCAGAAATAATTCGAAATTTTACCTCTAGAGCTTGTTCTAAATCTCCCGCATCTTCAACTTGAATTTCTTCAATTGGTTTCTCTTTCACTTCTTCTTCTGTAGCTTTTTGCTCTTCAACAACTAATGTCTGAGATTTGGCTTCTTCTTTTTCATTTTCAACTTGCTCTTGGCTTGGCGTCGGTTCATCCATATCCAATTCTGCTGACACTTTCAATGTCATTCAAATAATAACCATACAATCACCAGGGGTGCGATTTTCGATACCATTCGAATACATTTCGTACACGAAATTTGACTGACAACAATGTAAATTAAATAGGAAGTATTCGAAATTGTATCAAATTTCGTAAAGTCTGTTTTTTTTTTTTTAAGATAATTCCCCAAGTCAAAAATTTAGTAACTATGTTGGTAGCACAAGCTTTATCTACATAAAAAATTTGAAAGCATTGACAACTTGACATTCTATTGCCAACATAATGTCACTTTAACTTTTATCTTTAAAAAAAACGAGATTTTATAGAGCCCGCTAGGTCAGAAATTGGTTATCCGTATATTTTACCACGGGCACAACCTTATTATAAATATGACAGAGCGTAGGTAAGGCGGCATTAGCTATTGAATATTGGAAGCAGACTATGGCAAATATTGATGAACGAAATATCGATTTATTTGAAGTCGACCAAGGTAAAATGTTAATTGAAGTGTCAACCATTTTGACACCTACCAAATTCATTCAAACGGCAGGACTCATGTTTTTCAGTTTTCAATAGTTTTAATATGCCATTTAACGTTATTGTATTTAACCGAGCATTTAACTTATGTTCTGAATTCAAAATTTAAAAAAAAAAACTTTTCCTTTTTGTTCAGTAGAAAAAAGACTTCAGTCTGGTTCCTATTCGTCCCAAGAATTGAGTTCGGAATGGGATTTTAGTGCAGTGCTAGTGCGGTGTTCGTGTAGTTCAGTGTTATATCACGTACGATGAAAGTGTAATCGGCGGTGTAAAGCCTAATTCTCACTTGCGCGAAATTCGCTCTTTTTTGACATTGCTCCAAAAATTTGACGTTTGATACACGCATAAAACGTCAACTTGTCGATGCAATGTCAAAAAAAGAGCGAATTTCGCACAAGTGAGAATGAGGCATAACACTGAATACACCATCATTTCGTACCGAATAAATAGTGTCCCACCATCTTCACACCATTCGGACACCAAATTATTTCCAAACACAAAAAAAGTGTACACCAAGTACTCCTATCATTTAACGAACGCCATAGTGTCAATAGTGTAAAAAGTGTCCACACTTTCTACCATTTCGAACTCACCTAAAGTAGTTTATTGGTGATAAAACAAAACAAAATTCTCATATGTCACATTTTGATAGCTGTCAAGATCTGCCAATCACTTTGTTTAATGTTTGTAGAAGAACCAGAGATTTGAGTATTTTTTTACTTAAACTATAGGTATTTTCTTTTTAAATTTTTGAACTCCGAATTCACGTGCAAAATGTCAAATGACTTATAAAATATTGCTGCCGTTTGGCAGGGTTTTGACAGGTGTCAAAATGGTTGACGTTTTTTCATTTACCTTGCTCGACTTCGCAGGGATCGATATGTCGGTTGTCAACAAGATCTGCCATAGTTATTCTACTTTTAGATGTTAGATTCCAATATTTGACAGCTAACACGGCTTACGGTATCCCCAATAACATAATTAAATTTCAGCCAAATATCACGGGTAACCAATTCCTATTTGAATATTTACCTTCACTTATATTGAACCGTTTGAATAGAGGCAGAAGTTTGATCGATACTTACTCGAATAAAGGTTAAATAATAATAGTTTGAAACGGAAGGGCCAAAAATTAATTTGTCGCAAAAAACTGAGATGCTATTGAGAACCATGGAAGCGTAAGCAAGTCATATAGCTCTGGGGAGTTTTTTGAAGAAATGTCACGCCACCAAAAGGAACTTTGAAATCTGAACTGGTCTAGCATAAGAGAAGCCGAAATTAAAGAGGTCTATAAACCTAGCAGTGGAAAAAAACGTCGGGAACTATATATAATAATAAGCTGCTTTTTAGGTGCTAATTAGGGCCTCTAATTAAAAATTAGGTGCTCCTTTAGTTTTTGAGAAAATCAAAAAAAACTAAGGGAGTGTTGAGTTTATAAAAGCTAGCACTCCCTTATAGTAAAAAATATTGTCACAACTACCCGCTTTACGGGGGTGACATGGGGGGTTTGTAGCTTTGGGGGTAGATGGAGAGAAACTCGCTCAGGTTATATAAAAATATATGCTATATATTTTCCCAAATATAACCTTACATGTATGCTAATCCTATAAGGTACATGACCCTTCGTACACTGGGGTCCTTATAGGGGGCCACACGTCAATTCTGCTTGGGGGACTGTAGATAAGTTTATCGTCACCCTTATGCCTTGTCCAGAGGGGCGTTCCCAACGAGAGGTAATTGCACTGGACAACGATAAGGCTGAAGATACCCAGAGGGGCGTTCCCAACGAGAGGTACTTGCACTGGGGAGACTTAATTCCAGAGGAGCTTTTCCAACGAAAGGTACTTGCACTGGTTTAAGTCTGCCTTTGCTGCGGCTTGCAGCGCAATTTATATTAATTTATTGCTGAATTGCAATAAACATTCGATCGAATCGGCAATTAAATTAATAAGGTTGAATACCGGGTCCTCCTTTCCTAAGCAGCTAGTTGACAATATTTTTTTAAATTTTTTCTTCGTATCAGAATTAGGTGCTTTTTAGGTGCTCCCAAATAGTCCAAAAAAAAAAATAGAATTGATTAATTATTAACTGACTTACAGATTTTTTTAAAATTATTAGGGGACTGCTGGCTTTATGTTTACATGTTGGTGTGTCAGAATGAAAAAAACTTCAGGATCTATATAATAGTTAGGTGCTTTTTAGGTGCTAGCTAGGGCCTCTTATTAAAAATTAGGTGCTCCTCTAGTTTTTGAGAAAATCAAAAAAAACTAAGGGATTGCTAGGTTTAGGAAAGCTAGAAGTACCCTATAGTAAAACATATTTTTTCAAAAATTCCTTTCGTATCAGAATTAGATACTTTTTAGGTGCTTCTTAATAATCGTAGAAAAAATAGAATTGATTAATTATTAACTGAGTTACAGATTTTTTTTTTAATTATTAGGGGACTGCTGACTTTACGTTTGTTATTTTATATTAATAAAATCCCAGATTCCACGACTTTAAACAACGTATTTATTATTAACAATTCGGGTACAATAGAAGAGAGCAACCAACAACATTGACAAAGTTGACAGAACACACATTTCATGTCATTGCAATATTAGCAGGTTGCACATTATTAAAATCGTATCTAAAACATAGAGCGCTATCTCCTAATGAGAAACTAAGCTTACATAAATTCTTAACACTCCTCCTCGATTTTAAATGTTATATAATAGTACATTAAAATACAAGTTTCATAAGACGTCATTTTATCGCACGAGCCCTATATTAGAAAACGAGCCGGAGGCGAGTTTTCTAAAGGGCGAGTGCGATAAAATGACTTATGAAACGAATATTTTATACTATTTTTTCTATTTTGGTATTGTTTAATTGAAAAAAACAAACTTTTCTTGGACATTTTATTCTCATATTTCCTGATTTCATATGTTTAGGTTGGCAACACTACATGCCAAATATAGAAATCTTCTATTATTTTTTATCGCGAATGACAGTTCAATGGCCATCAATCAGCTAGTGTTACCAACCTCCGATAAGTAAAAAAGGAGTGTCACAAAGAGTTTCTTTTCGAAACTACTTTTATGGGTAGTTGCACCAACACTTTTTAATCTTCGTTTAACAGTAAACTTGGTTCAAACCAAAGAAATCCATTGCACCGTTTTTTAAAGAAAGTTTAATTTGATTTGAACTTGGTTTAACTTAAACGGTCATCTTTGATGGTTTAGGAGAAGTTTTTTACTATTGAACGCACAGAAGGGAAATTCGTAGTGTAATGACATGCCGACTGTTGTTGTTTACGGTTATTTTCATGTTGTAAGGTTAAGTATAGTGCTAAATAAAATAAATAAAACAAATTTCTGCTAATAAATAATTATTAGGAGAATTATTATTAAAATGAACATTGATTACGAAGACATTTTTGACGACGACTTAGAAATCCTTGAAATAATCCAAAATGGGATTCCAAGGAGAGTCATCCAGCGCAAGAATCATTTCGATGAAATGAGCCCCTATACATTCTTCCGCAAATTTCGTCTTTATAAAGACACTGCATTGCGTGTTTTGGAACAAATAGAGCCGGAACTTGAATATCCCAATAATATGTAAGTAGAAGCTAAACAAAATACTTGAGAATATATGTGTAAGTAAGTATACTTTGCTTAAGCAAAAGCTAGGATCTTACTACTTAAGCAAGAGTAAACCTAATGAAATATCAATTTTAATCAGGTATGCTGATATATATTCTAGGAACAATAGTGTATCTCCTATCAACCAGTTGTTGATTACATTGAGATATTATGCTACTGGGGGCCATCTAAACTTTTTAGCTGATTTTGGAGGTATGGATACTTCTACAGTATCAAGAATAATTGTCCGAGTATCAGAAGCAATTGCAAGGCTTTACCCTCAATATATTAATATGCCCCTTCCACAAAATATTATAGATGAGCAAATTAAGTTCCATGACATTGCTCGATTTCCAAGAGTTCTTGGAGTTGTCGATGGAACACATATTAAGATACAAAATCCAGGTATGCGTACTGTTGATGAGAAAACTCAATAATTTTCTATCAAGAGACTAGCTAATTTTAAGTAAACAGAAAATTTAAAGCCTTATCATTTCTTGAGAACACCCTGTTTTATTTGAGATTGATTTTACTATGAATGTTTGTACAATTGCATAAGGTCATTCGAACAAAAATTGTAGGCGTAAAGATTTGTAAAACGCAAATATTTACTTTGAATGTTCTGTCTAAAAAAAAAACATCACCTAGGTACTTAGCAGTCTCAAATATTTTAGAAAATAGCGAATTTGTTATGATCTACTATTTTTTAAGATATTTGAATCTATCTTTTGTTCAAATTAAAAAATAGAGCGTGATTGATTATTGTTTTATATCCGTTGACTTTTGGCTTTAAACAGGATAGATCATAGAACTAGGAAAAAACATTAATTACCTTCGCAATATTT